TTGGCGTCTGTCACGAGTCCTTGGTCGCCATGCCTGATGAGTACGAAGTCTATTTGTGTCTTGGTACTCCCGCTGTAGAACGTGATGAGATGGGAGTCACGTTTACGAAACTTGTGTTCAGAATGACGAGATTATGCGACTCTGCATACTCAAGGACTCGCTCACCATCGGCGTTCCGTGAACCGTAGCCGAATCCGCCATGACAAGCATAGCCGTCTTTTGCAGCGCCCACGTGTCCGTTTAAATCGCCGGCTACAATGATACCGTCTTTTGGTGGCACTTCAGCCGTCTTCTCGTCCAGCAGAGCCCAGAACTCGTCCTTGGACTGCTCAGAGCATCCAGTTTGTGGGGCATATGCAGAGAAGAAGTGGTACAGTCGTTGTTCAATAGCGACAACAATCTTCATTAAACGGTCGTCGAAACGAACTACGCTCACAATCGAATCGCGAAATCGCTGAGACACGATCACGGCCACACCACTTGTAGTTTTCGGCCCGCCACAAAGAACGGCTTTGAAGCCGCGGCCTAACTCTTTCGACTTGCAACCAGCCCATCTCGTCTCTTGCACGGCACAGAGGTCGATCTTTCTACGCTCTAGGGCTTCTGCTAACTCGTACGAGCGTCCAGTCAGCGTCCCCACATTCAGCGTCGCAATACGAGCCTTTGACACACTGCACGTCTTTTGGACTAGCCTGGTTGCCCCCCGATGCCGTCCTTGCAACGAGGACCCTCGCATATTTTTCACACTCGTCGGGCCTTGCGAGTGCGCGTCGGCTCCCGCGGACGCCGTAGCATTATCTCGAAATTCATAAGGCATAGTTAAACATGATGATGTGACATGGGGTGTTCGTAAGCCGGCCCGTCACGAAGGCCTGTCGCCTGCTTCGTGTTCGTCCGCGTTCTGCTCAGCCCGCAAAAGCGAGCAGGTCCCGGTGGCACCACTTGGAGGAACGGACGTCACCACCTATCTGTGCCAGTGGATTGTCACAATAAAAAAAAACACTGCGTATGAGTAAACAGAAATCGCCAAAAATTGCGAGGGCGTATTAATAACGAGGAAACAAAGGAAGTGAATCGTGTAGAACGATAAAATCTGATATTCAACTGATTCAATAGTACTAGTGTTTTCCAGGAACCTGTCGGTCTTTCATTCTGGCGGAATCGTTTCAACGAAACCAGGATTTGCCCTTTGCCGTCAGGACAGGAAAAATTAATACGGTACAATGGAACTGCTGTTCCTATTTCTTATCGTATAGATTACGATGGTCCTGAATGTTTCAAGGATGGCGATTTTCGCAATGCTAGTCAGTTTGAGGTGAGTGAAAGATTTGACTTTTGAAAGGTGCCCATCAGTAAACTTTTTTATTTCATAGAGGGAGATTGCATGGGCTTTTTGTTGGCTGTTACGGCGTCAAGCATGGTGCGTTTTACAGTCGTCAAAAAGAGTAATAAAGAACACGGCAGCAATAGAAACTGAAGTCTATTTGAGAGATTTCCGCGTTGATCCTACGCGTAACTTCAATTTGATAAGTGCGCTGTTCTCATTGGTGCACACCCCCCCCCTCCTTCCAAATTCCAAGATGGCATAGAGGAGGGAGCACCAATAAGGTTCATTAGCGGCCGAAAGGTTTTTCTTGCACGATTTTCTTGTCTAACCAGTTCGTATGAAACTTGATATCTTATATCCACCTAGGTTGCCAATAAATTCCAAAATTCGCCTTTGATTACGATGCATGTGGTATGTGACTTCTTCCGTAACGACTGGCTTCAGTGTCTGTGAAACCACCAGTTTGCTCACGGTTTTTGCTTTCAAAGGAGGATGCCAAAACGAATTGCTTCTGTTCTCAGTGACTTGAAAAACGACTCAAACCTCGAGTATCAGACAACTGCCTTTGACATGAATAATTTCGGCATGAAAGATACGCTTTCTTCGAGTGCGAAGGGTTCAGTAAGTACAGTGCCATTGACTCGTGGTCGTGTTCGCGACATTGAGGTCGTGGTCAACGTTTTTAAGACTAGATTTCGAGTGGATTATGTTTCACATCGATTTGCCAGATTAATGTCAGTACCACCTTTTCTACCATTTGATCCTAGCAATGTTCTTCCGACAGTCCTTTTTCTAATGTAAGTGCTATTTCTTCTGAAGAGAGAAGCTGGAGATTCTTACGAACTGTACCGCCAAACCTCTTCTCTCTGGTCCGCGAAGCCATGTCGCTTCGCCAGAAGGTAGTCGCCGCCCGTCAATAGCTCAAGTTTCCTCCAACGATGCAGGACGACCGGCGTGCTGTTCCGCTTCATCACAAATAAGAAGATCGGATCAACATGCCGTCTTCCAGAAGATCATCCAGTGATAACATCTATTTGTCACTCCATTTTAGATGTTATTATTAGGGAAGAAAGGCATGTCTTGTATTCCTTGCTATTGAAGTGCGAAGAGAGAGTAAGCCAACGTACTTGCCTGGTGAGACTTGGAGGAGGATTGAGGTTGAAGCAAGACTGATTTGCGACACTATTCGATCTAGGGCCAAATTGACTCTTTGTGCAAAATACGACAGACTGCTCGGTACTCGTCGGGGAGACAACAGTAATCGTGAAAACAGCGGCATCGCGAACCACCATCACACCAACGACACAGTTCAAAGTGGCGAACGACATCACGGGTCACTGTTATTGGCGACACTCATCTCTCCTCTAATGCTTTGAGCTTGTTAAGTCTTGGTCCGTCCTTTTCACCAGCTCAGAACATACTGCACAAGTGTTTCGGAAAGTGGTTAGGGTGCAAAGGCTAAGGGATCTACTGCGCATGAATAGCGAGCGTCGCGAAAGACCGCAAATCATGCGCCTTTATCAAGGATCGTTATGAGTGTACCGTTTCCACACACATTCCATAGAGTTCAGCCATCACACGAAGTCGATGTTAAGTTCAGAATGTTATCAACTGGTATTTCAGCCGTTTTGAATCGTTACAGACGGTATCGAAATACAAACCTAACACGCGAGTAATGGTTGGGGTTCAGAGAACTGCGTGAGCTAAGAACTAACGGCACTATATCCGTGAGCGATGAGGGTGGTGAATTCGTAGTTATGACACAATCTCTTGACCGTGCCATAACGGAAGTCCATTTGCGGGACTCTAGCGTTTATCGCCGCGTAACTGAGAAGGACTTTTCATCGCAATGCAAACGTCTCAACCATACGTGGTTGTGCGTGGGAAAATCGGCAGGGCTCGATGAACAGTGCTCGGTAGACTCAAATTGGACAACCCGAATTGACCAGTTTTCTACAGCCTTCTGAAGACCCATAAACTGGCTCCTCAGAATAATATGCTGTCAATGCCTGCGGATGCATCCAAGATCCGCCCTATCATTAGTTGTGTGGGGGATCAACCGACAGAACATCATGGTTTCTCAACACTACAGTCAGCCAACTGTTACCCATGGTTCCCTCTCACTTGCCAAATACGAATCACTTCCTCGAAAAGCTACAACACTGTGACATTCCAAACAATGCCGTGGTGGAGCCATTGACGTTACATCGCTTTACACTAATGTCCAAAACAAGCAAGCCTTGAAGCATTATCCGAGATGCTTGACAGGCATATTGCTAGCATACGAACTTCAGGACAAGAGAAAGCGCATGTAATGACTCTTATCAAGGAATGCTTGAATTGCGTCATTTTCAAGTGGGTAGGTACATACTATTCACAAATCAGAGGGCTCGCCATGGGTCATCGTCTTGCACCAGTTCTCGCTGTCTGCTTTGGGGTAAAATAGAAGAACCGGTACTGGAACGCTTACCGTTTATGTACTGCAGATATATAGACAACTGTTTCATAATAGCGTCAACACAATCCGAAATGGATGAGTGTTGTCGCATAATGAACGAGCAGTCGCAGTACATTAGACTGACTCGGGGAACCTCGAAGGACGGTTGGTTACCATTTCTCAACACGCAAGTTAATGTGTCCAAAGGCGTAACCCGCGTGAAGTGGTACCGTGAAAACAGCTCGAAAAACATCTTTATTCATGCTACGTCGGCACATCCGGCACCCGTGATGCGCGCTGTTGTTCGCAACATGTTCAGAACGGCAACAGGAGTGTGCGCGGGAGACGTAGAACGAATGAGAATCACGAGACGCCTCGAAAATAGCCACTGCGGACGGCTATACGGCACCACCCTCTCGATTGAGACA